TTACACGGAACAATTATATGTATATGGAGAAAGCATGTATCTGTTACACTAAAAAATGCAATAACATACTTGGAATCATAGTCAATATTGGAACAATCCACAGACAGTTGGGTAAACTGTTATTTTATAAAATTGCACTTGAGAAATGTGGTAGATTACAGTTGAATATATGTATAACTTCAAAAAATAACTACCTCGATATAGACAGATTTTACAATAATAGTACAAGTATCCCGACCTTCCCTCTATATATAATAAAACCTTATTAATATTTCCTTAATTGATATTTATGCTTATGCTCTGATATTACATAACTTTTAGAGCAAAAAATATTTTTCAAAAGTTATACAATTAATATGTAACATGTATATTTGATTGTTGAACGATAGGAATGAAATGCTTTCTGAACAGGCACAAAAATCTGCCTTTTCATTTAAATAATTTTAATTTAATTGTACAAATGTATGAAGGAACTGTTCAAGCATTCTCAAAATACACTGTTATGTTTTAATGACCAATGATGACGCAGAATACTCCAATTAATACTCAACAAGTTTTGGACGGGTTTTAACATAAATGTATGCTGCTATTACAACGAATATGGCAGCAATCGTGGGTAACACCACTGTGAAGACACGCTGTTTGTTCTCTAGAAATTCCTTTTTCCTTTCTTTCTTCTGTTTGTTTGTTTCTTTCGTCTTTCCCTTCAGTTGACGCATCTTTTTGCTGTAAGTGGTAGAAGATAACACATATTGGTAACATAATCTTGTCAGAGTGTGGTTTTTTTATAGTATGTATTTACGCATAACAGAAATACAGGTGACATCGAACAATTTATTTCATTATAAACCGCAATCGAAAATTCATGCAATACATATGTTTATGACAGCTTTAAACACTGTTAAAGTACGTAAGCTTTAAGATAAGCGAATAATAATAAACTCGCGTATCATACCATAAAATGAGAGGGTAAATTTAAATACCTTTAGCGACTCGTTTAAACAAATACGAACTTCAAGAACTTTACGACTTAGTCTTGGGATCCTCAAGCAATTAGGAAAAACAGATTTGCGTACATGACACGTAATAAAATAACGCTACCCTACCAATCGTAATTTCTGTCACTTCCGCGTGAAGGCAGTCAATTGAACTACGTTAATCAGTAGATTCGAATCGAACCAACATTTTCTTGCCGCATTTGCATTTCTCTTTACTCTCTCGTTATTATATATAATTTTCTATATAAATTAGTTTCGTATATTGACTATGTATCCTTTATTTTCTTGCTCCATTATTGCCGTTTACACGCACATAGAAGTATTTATTACATACACGGTTATCAACAGTTACAATAGTATGTACAGTAATCTCTCAATTCAAGAACCATATCCGGGGGCAATGAGGTTCTTGAATTGAGAGAATGCAGTGAATTGCTGTGCTCTGATTGGCTGCCGATTCACAGCTGAACAGTGCTGCCCTCGTAGTAAATGACAAAGAGAAGAAATAGCGAGTGAGGAAGATGGTACAACCATATGCGAAACGTCACACCGCTAACCAATATATTGGGTTGGCAAGAAAGTAATTTCGGTTTGCACCAATAGATAGCGTAATGTTTCTATTGTCATTCTTTTATTAAGATTATCATTTTTTTGACTTCAACTTTGGCAGTTGACACGTTTGGGTTAATAATATATAAATAATAAATAATAATATAATAATATAATATAATAATAATAATAATAATAATAATAATAATATAATAAATTCCGTGTAGTTTTGTTTACAACTGATAGTTTGCTCTCAATTTTAATATGGAATGCAGAAATGAACATTTTCGACACATTTTACTTTTTTATTTTCATAAAGGTAAGAAAGCGGCTGAGGCTCACAAAGGATTATGTGAAATTTATGGCGCCAATTGCTTATCAGAACGTACGTGTCAGAATTGGTTCAAAAAATTTCGTTCTGAAGATTTTTCACTTAAAGATGACCAACGTTCTGGTCGACCTTCTGAAGTTGACGATGACAAAATCAAAGCCATAATTGAATCGAATCGTCATATAACTGTACGAGAGATTGCAGAAAGATTAAATGTATCACATACAGCAATTGAATATCACATAAAATCTCTTGGACTTGTTAAGAAGCTCGATGTTTGGATTCCGCATGAATTGAAAGAAATTCACTTAACGCAACGAATCAGTATTTGCGATACTCATCTTAAACGTAATGCAATCGACCCGTTTTTGAAACGAATTATCACTGGTGATGAAAGATGGATCGTTTACAATAACATTAATAAAAAAAGGTCATATTCCATGCTTGATGAACCAGCACAAACCATACCAAAAGTTGAATTGCATCAGAAAATGATCATGCTGTCAATTTGGTGGGACTATAAAGGTGTTGTGTATTTCGAGCTGCTTCCAAGCAACCAAACGATCAACTCGGATGTTTATTGCCAACAACTTATGAAATTGGAGGAAGCAATCAAAGTGAAAAGGCCAAAATTGGCAAATCACAAAGGAATCGTGTTCCACCACGACAATGCGAGGCCTCACACATCTTTAGCAACACGTACAAAATTATTGGAGCTTGGTTGGGAAGTGATGTCGCATCCTCCATATAGCCCCGACCTTGCACCAACGGATTATCATTTATTTCTAAGTTTACAAAACTTTCTACATGGTAAAAATTTCAGTAATGATGATAGCCTCAAATCGCAGTTGATCAAGTTTTTTACTGATAAGGACCAGAAGTTTTATGAGTGCGGAATTATGGAGTTACCAGAAAGATGGCAAAAAGTCATCGAACAAAATGGAAAATATTTGACTAATTAAAATTCATTTTCTGTATGGAAAAAATTGAATTTTATTTCACATTGAAATACCGAAATTACTTTTCTGCCAACCCAATAGTTTGGCCCACAAGCTATGGAGGATGCTTGTGGTCTCACTCTTTTCGCGCATCCGTATGCCTGGCGCTTTCACCTCGTTGGATTCTTGACCACATTTACCAGCGAATTTGCAAACAATGCTCAATGCACATTGAGATATGTTTCGAATGTATTGCATTGGTTTGAATGTTTACGCCGGAAAATGAATGAAAATAATGATACAAATAAACGATGCAAACTTGATGTCTTTTTTTGAAAGATGAAATACAACTTATTTTAATGAATAAATGTCATTTTTAAACAAATTCTGGCCTTTCACATGAATAAATGCGGCTATAAAAATTTTAATACTATCTTCGTAAATAAAGTGTTTATTCCGTGAAAAGAGTTGTACAGGTGTTTAAAAAAATAAAAATCTAGGGTGGATGTTGCAACATTTCATACTTTTTTATTTATTTAATTCTGAAACTGTTTCTTGTGCGATTTAATAAAGAATTCGCAAAGAAATCTATTTGGCCAAATATGACGCGGACAATACACAATAATAACAACATAACGTTAGCAGGCAGACAAACGTTTGCAAATCATGAAAATCCGACATCTTATATGCAGCAACATAGTAACATAACGATTTGGATAATGTAGCTCTGTCGCTCTTGACCGCCTGTTTAGACTTTTTGTTTGGAATCTGGTGAGTGGTGCACAGGAGACGTCATAAATATGATTGGATAATGCTATTCGCAATCCATTGTCACTAGCCAATCACATTGAAGAGAACGAATAAGCTCTGTCACGAAACGAGAGTTTTTGAACTGGAGTGCCGGCAGCGAAGTTCGTAAACCCCTACTGCGCAGAATAGGGAATCGGGGTAGCAGATTGCGCAGTCTGACGACAAGCTTCGACGCAACGATGACATATGATTTCGGCATATAAGACGTCGTCCTAAGTCCTCTTAACTGCGCGTAGCGCCGGCGAGAAATGGTCACTCAGTAATGGAGGGTGAAACTTTTAGTGAACATTCCTCACAGTGAAGCATCGTACATCGAGATCTGCGAGGCTCTAAGCTTGTGCAAGCAGTGTACGCGTCACGTCACCCTTGAATCAGAGCATTTCGCTGTTACCCACTCTTGTTTTTCGCTTTCAAAGAATCGGAAACTTCTTTGATTTACTTTTGGTCTGCAATAATTACTCGGCATATACTATATGCGAATGTTATCCCACAAATGGCCGCTAATTGCTATTAAGCACACAAATGCGACATTAAATAAATTAAATAACAAATTTCGAATACCTCCTCGTATATCATGTTGTCCTAATACAAAAGCCAAAATTTCGACAGAAATTTTCGGAAAATTTTATCGCAAGTAGTATAATTAAACCGTAAGACAGACAAAGAAATTCATGATACATTATTTATGAGATATTTCGAAAATTTTTTAAATTTCAGTAGTACAAATCAATCGCAACCCAAACAAAGAAATTCGAGATACATACCTCCTCGCATGTTCTCATACAATTAGCAAGTAGTTTAAGTCAATGGAAAGTCAGGCGTATGAATAGAATAGGAACGTAGGAAAAGAATGTGTAGGGATAGATTTTCCCAAATTTATAAATGAAAAGACGTTTGGATTGAGTTTTATAGTACTTTTAGTTTCACACACATTACACTTCTTATTTTATAATAATAAAAGGGAGTCAGAACGAAGCCAATATTAGATATTCTTACAACGATGACTTACTTTACTAACAATAAGACGCAGTGTATGTCTAGTAATTATTGTAGACTAAAAGTGGATCAGAGAAGTCTCCGAAGGCTCTGATTCTTTGAAAGCGAGAAACAAGCGTGAGTAAGAGCAGAAGGCTCTGACTCAAGGGTGACGCGACGTGTACAATGATTACGCTAGCTTAGAGTCTCGCAGATCTCGATGCTTCACTGGGAAGGCTTCACTCGTTCATCCTCTCACACATAGAACTACTGGGTTTGTTCTGTCTCTCTTGATCATCTTCATTAGTATCGAATCGTTAACCAATCAGTGGAAAGGAATTTCTGTCCCTATTTTCGACTGCTTAGCAAGCTGCGGGCTAGAGCCGTGCAGAAGTTGGAGCTAGTATCTAGATTGTAGATATAATCTAAATAGATTCTATATCTTATAGTCATAGTTTATAATCGGTACGCTATATTAACGGGCTTGTCGGCTTGAGGCAGTGATGTCGTATCACATGTCACGTGATGTCCATGGGAAATAAAACGGGGGCTCCCTCACGTGCCGGTTTCCTCTTCCAAGCGCCCATTTTCCCAACCGGTCAAATTGTATAATGTAGCAAGTTTCTCGGCAACCGTAGCACGTTCGTGCCAATGACTCGAAAATAGGTACAAACCATTCGTATGTAATCATCGCAGGATTCGCAGGTTCGAATTGGTTGGTTGGCTTGAATACCCAACACTATGTGCAATATAGTGTCGGTTGTGCCCATGGATTTTAGGATATTCTAGGCAATTAGGATATTCTAGCTTGTGCTAGATTTTGCATACATGAGTATGTATATGCATGTTATGTACATATACATATAGTATCATTAATCCTCACTTGGTGCGTACAAGTCGCGGGGTCAGAACGGGATATTTTATGACGTCTCGCATCTTGATCTCGATTTTCTTCTTCGTTTCTGGCAACGGCAACGCTGTTTTCAAGTGTGTATGTATGCATTCACCGACTGACAACGTTTGCGGATAGAAGAAGCGTAGTGTAGTATGACTTTTAGCTAGAATTCACGTCAGATAGTTTTAGTTGTGTCATTCTCAATAAGCACGCTGTTAGCATCGTAGCAAAAAGATTTCACCTCTTGTAAACATTAACATTGGAACTATCGGACAGTCAAAATAATGCATTTGTAAATCGTTTCAAAAAATTCCTGTTTTTTTTGGGGTTACAATAATGTATAAATCAGTTTCTTGAAAAGTTTCCATCAACTGTATCATTATGATTTCGAGATCTATTATTTTGACGTTCTTACACGCTATAAAGAGTTATTTCAATTGAATATATTTAGTTCTTTGATGATAAATTAATGATTCACACTCATTTTAATTTTTAGAATATAAGAGCAAACATTATTTAAACGGTATGGAAGTTGACGAAAACAATGCAGCAGCTCCATCAGAGACACCAATGGAAGTTGATGATGATAATGTTGAAAAAAATTCTACCACCTCGACAAATCCTTCAAGTGCCATCAAAGTAATGGCATCTTCTGGTACCGTTGGATCTGTATCAATTAGTCTGCATCCTTTGGTTATAATGAATGTTAGCGAACATTGGACTAGACTTCGTGCTCAAGAAGGAACAGATCAATTGGGTAGATCTTTATATGTTTTTATAGTTGATAATCTTAAGAGCCTCGGCTTTATATTTGATTTAATTTCTTTATATTTGCAGTATATGGAGCATTGATTGGTAAACAGAAAGGACGTAATATAGAAATTATGAATTCCTTTGAACTTATGTTTACGTGCATCGGAGATGATGTTATAATCGACAGAGATTATTATAATACCAAAGAAGAGCAGTTTAAGCAAGTGTTTAGTGAAATGGATTTTTTGGGGTGGTACACAACAGGAGATATGCCTAACGAAAGGGACATTAGAGTGCACAAACAGCTTTGCGAAATCAATGAAAGCCCTGTGTTATTAAAACTTGATCCCAGACCAAAAAACACAGATGTACGTATGGGGGATACTTTTGCTTTTTTTTTATAGTAGACTCAATCATTCTGTTATTGTATCTTACAGCAATTGTCCGTTTCTATGTACGAGTCGGTAATTGATTTGGTTAATGGAGAAGCTACCATGCTGTTTGTCCCGTTAACTTATACGCTGGCAACAGAAGAGGCAGAAAGAATTGGTGTCGATCATGTAGCGAGAATGTGCAGTAACGATCAAGGAGAAAGCTCATTAGGTAATGTCGCGCGTCTTTACTTCGTTCTTGCAGCTTTAAACTACCGCAAGGATAACGTTGGTAAACTTGTGCATAGTTGCGGAACATCTAACTGCACAGCATAGTGCTATAAAGATGCTGCATTCGCGGGTGAAATTGGTATTGAAATACGTACAGGCAGTACAGAGCGGTGAAATAAAAGGAAACCACGAAGTGCTGAGAGCCGCTTGTTCTCTGGGACATCGGTTACCAGTTTTAAATAATCCAAAATTCAAAGCTGATTTTTATAATGTACGTATTTATAATGCAACCTCCACGGTTATATTAGAACGCTTTCTCATTTACGTATCTAACGCATCGTATCGTTACTTTTTTCAGCAATGCAATGATTTTGGTCTGATGACTTATCTTGGCATCATAACGAAAGATTGCAATAATATTAATCAATTTGTTAATAAATTCAATATTTTGTACGATAGACAAGGAGTAGGCCGTCGTTTACGATGTCACTTTTTGTGATGAGTGAATAGAAGCCATTGTTTTTTTTTTACAATTGTCTTTTTTTACTCCTTACAATTGTAGTAAACTATTTTCGGAATATGAAGGATTGAAACTGGTAAAGTTTGTCGTTGATGAGTAATCTTAATTCCATAATTGATATTGCCTCTCTTATAAAATAAAGGTAAAAAAATCAGTTGAATCATTGTACTGGTTAACACCTGACAAACAGATAAACTATATTGTCATTGTTCTACGATAGTGGAAGACATGTTACGATTGTTATGTTGTTTTCTTTCATTTGAATACATTATATGTTATATGACTGACTTTAGACCTTGCATTTGTTGAGTTTTGGAAACTTGTATCGTCTCGGAGGCCACGTTACTTTCTCATTAGATATATATTTCATTTTTATTATTTACATAATCGTTTTGTATAAATTATACTTGATATAAAAAAGCAGCCTATAAAATACGACTAAAAATCTTCTCCTAAAAATCTATGAAGTCATTACATACAATAGATACGCTTCGATCCGACACATACAGCGACGTTAAATATTATACTGTACAAAATATAGTGTAATATATTGTGCCTCGTTAGTTATTGCAGGTAACCGTATCAAGTTACGTATCCTATACGTAAGAACATAAATCTGAATTGACTTTTCCCGTGAATAGACTATTAAATCTCTATAAATACTGTTAGGACAACAATGACAATATACACCAGAAAAATTCTATAACACAGTTGCCTTCCGTGCAACTTGCAATAACAATTCTTTTTGACTTTGTTCACGTGTATCGCGTACGCTTAAAAAACTGTTTAAATTCTTATTTGTGTTTGAAGTATTTCGTTTTGTACACTTGAGTTGTGCGGCTTCGTTTGATATTGCATTGATATGAAACATTTGAAACCCGCCAGAGATCGGTCGCGATGCTTCCCCCATAATTGGTTTGTAAAAGTAAAAACGTTGGAAAAATCATACGGAAGGGTTTCATTTTCGTTTCGGTTTTCGTTTTTGTTTCACCTGGCCCCACGTCGTTGAAAAAGTGTCACCTACAGCGTAGGTCCTATACACGGGTAGGAGAAGTTTGTCATGCTTCTTTCTCTCGTGATAATAATCGTTTGAGGCGTTCACACCAGGCTGTCTTCGATCATGGTAGCTAAAATATCTACCAGAACAGACAGCATCGAGTCGGGCTAAGGGCTCGGTTTGTCCATACCGATTATCTCCTCGAACAACGTGTTCCTTCCTTCCATTCTTTCCTCCATGATTTGCAAGGAAAATCTCAAGGTAGCAGCAGCCAAATCGCCGACCGACCAGTGCCTATCCATCAGGACCCTGCTCACGGTATCTAACTGAAGAATCGTTCTCTGTTCGATCACCTGGATCTTTCTTTCTCGGTGTATGTTTCTTCGCGAAGAAACAACATATAGGTAACATTGTCATAGACAAAAGGGAATCCGTTACCTTCGATAGTCTTGGATTCCCTGCGGTGTAGTAAATCAATTTCGGCACGCCCGCTAAAGAAGCGGCGAGCCATTGAACAACAAGCTTCAACTGGGGGTCCCCTTTTAATCGTGATCCGCATCCCCAGTTTCCAGTCACGATAGACAACAATCCACCGGATTGCGGACTACTGTCTCTTGGTATCTAAAAACATCGTGTTGGTAAACATGGAGCGACAAGAATCACGCGGGAATCGGTCATCCCGCGAAACGCAAACTAATTACAATAGAAATGCCAATTTTAGCAACCATAGAAAAAAAAGAAAAACGAATTTTCGGAGTGTATTCTCGGGCAATGTTACTTCGGAAAGTATGAAAATGTTACACGTCAATTCAAAGTCAGGAAAGTAAAAGACAATCATCAAATAGAATGAGAGACAAATCATTAATCGTTAGAGATGTGTACGTGTCTACAACATTACCTCCTGTTAGAGACATAATTTCTGTTATCTGGCATGCAACAGCGAGCGGCGATCATTTAGCGTGCATAAATTACCAAGTTTCTATTTTTAACTGCTAGTAAGACAAGCGTTCGAAAGTTCAGAATTGGTAAGCAACGAGATAGTAAGAGATAGATATAGATAGATAGATAGATAGAGAGAGAGAGAACTAATGGTTTCTGGTAGTAAATCGGAATTGGTTCATGCGTTACATTTACGGAACAAGAGTTTACATATACATGTGTAACAGAAAGTTTGCTCACGTTAAGTGTAACATGCGATTCGAATTCTTGCGCTAGTTTATCCTTTATGGGTCCAGGTGTACTTAAAGAAACAGGATTAGACAGATACACGGTAGTCTTGTCATCGACCAATGTTTGAAAAACTTCGGACGTGAACGTTACCGTTCTAAGCTTTTTACGTTGGATATCCTTTACCTCTTTCGACATCGTACGATTACTTAAAGCGTCTTCGTAATTCTCTATGTCTTCGGATTCAGAGACCTGCGTATCGTAATCATCCGATGAAACTTTGGCTACGTACGTGAAATTATGTATATGTATCTAGGCTAGAGCATTAGTTTTCAGTTTGTCTCTCATTCTTCGACGACGCGGTCGGTTCAAACAAAAATGATCTTATGATATACATGTTCGATTAAAATTGCGCGTGTTCGATTTGTCGCATGTGTGAGTGAGTGTGCGTGTATCTTATCGTACGACCATGTTATCGTGTGTCGATCGGGTGTGATTTCTTGAATCGATTGTGAGGAAAAACAAAAACAACTTGTTTCTTACTGATTGCTGTCTCCTATTTTTTTGACGGGCTAGCTCTAAACTCAAACTTCGCACGGCCAAAGCTAACTTGTGCCTCTGATTCACGTCGACTGAATCAATGAGAGGTTGAGGTTCACCCTCCTGTACCGGGACGCCAGCAAACGATTCGCTGAGAGCTCTCTTTAGCAACGAGCCCGCGAATCTAACTACCGCCCTGTCCCTCGCGTCTAATTCACGCGATTCGTCCGCCGCTATGGGATCTTCTAACCATTTCGCTAGTTGCTCGTATACTTCCTCGAGCTCCGAACAAAAATCTGAACGCACGAAGAGTCATGTCGGTTTCACTTGTTATATTTAGACAGTGGCGAAAGGTACTATTCAACGAACGCAGAAAGATGCGTTTCGTAATACTTGCCAGAATTGTATTCGGTACTGAAACTGTATCTACTACTGGCACTCGTGTCTCTCCGCTGAAGCGTCGATTGATTCTGTCGGAATCTACCGAGCCATTTCTGTTCCGCCTCCAACGATTCTTTCAGAAACTCTTCATCCACGGTTTCGTCTCTGAGAACGAAACCCCTCGAGCCACCTCGTTTCACCCTGCATCACGTCGTTTCAAAAGTACGTAAAACATTATCGTGTATCAACTCTTTAGAGAGCGAGAGAGCTCTCGCTTACTTGATATCTTGATCGTAAACGTGACTTCCGGACACGCTTATTCCTACGGCGTAGCTACTCTCACCGGACGACGTGTTCGAGGAGGCTGCACCACCGGTGGCTGTGCTCTCGCGTTTCAAAGCGTCCCTCAAACGCTGAGCGAACGTACCTCTCCTTTCCGGTGTGTCCAACTGGCTGCTGTATCGCTTGCTCAACCTTTGTTCTTCCTCTTCTAAACACGGTCGAATCGATCTTATAATTAGCTAACAACAGTGCCCGTGCTGAACAATTCGTTAGTCACCTACCAGGGTCTTCTTCTATCACGTCTTTCGCGCTATGAAAGCTGTCCGTGCTCTGACTGTTGCAGCTGCTGTAAACCGACATTTGACCGAGCGACTTCCTCGTCACCGGCAAAACTTCGCCGCTCGAGCCGAGAACTATGAACCGATTCCTTCTGCTCGCGCAGCTAGTCTCTTTGCCCGACTTCTGAGGGCTCGACGATCTTACGGATTTCCCGTTTGGCCTTCCGTGCGACTCCGTTGCATCGTCGTCGTACTTGTTCCGCTCGGCCGACACGGATTTCCCTGGAAGAGCACAGATTAGATCCGATTCGAAACGAACGTTAGTCCTGCTTGCTTCGGTGTCGATACCTTGCTTAACGGACTCGTGATTTAACGGATGGGCCGACGACGACGACGACACCGGCTTGTCGTCGGCATCCGTTTCCGGCGGAGTGCTGCTGAAGCTTTCCCCGATAGGTGACAACCTGCGAGAACTCAGAGCACCGTCCGGATCCATTTCCGATCTTCCGATCGGATCCGTCGGGCTGCTCGGCACGTATCTTTGACGAAATCCTAGCAACGATTTGTTCATTTCTCGCAGCACGTTGTCCTCTTCGAACTGCGCCAAGGGCAACGCCGAGTAATCCTCCGGATCGATGCAGCAGACCGTTACCTGTGTCGCGTTCAACGAAAACCGAACGAAAGCTTGCTGTAATAAGCTGCAGCTCGCGAACTCGTCACCTCGATCGAGCTACTCACGACATTAGGTTTCGGCAGAGCTTCGAACGTGGCCCTGTTCCGAGGATCGTTTATGCGCGACACGTGCCTGACGCCTTCGACTATCAGAGCCTCGTTGTCTTCTAGTGCCTCGACCGACAGTATCGCAGCGAGCATCTCCGGATGAGTCGCTATCTAAACGCAACAGAGACGATTATTCTGATTTATTTCGCGATTGCTCGCGGTCGCGTTCTGTTTCCCATCTTACACGAACGACACGGATAAACCGCGCGGTTTACGAACGGAGTTAGGCTCGTCACGCGGTTTTGCCTTCAATTATTTACATGTACAGTTTCTTGCGTAACATCACCGTCAAGCACGCCGCCGCCAAACTTCGCGCTCGTGAAGCAAACGCGCAATACTTTTGTTTCCGGTTCCACCCTCTCCAGTCGTCCCTCGTGCCTTATCATCAGTGGACAGAGGGGCACGTTGCTCTCCAGCCAATCCTCGATGGTCAGCCATTGCTTGGACGTCATCACCTGCCGATTTGGAATTCCGTTTTGTATAATTTCGTTTTTTATTATTATTATTTTCGAATTTAATTTTCTTTTTTCGTTTTGTACATTAACCACTTAATGCACAGTTTTTTTTTTTAAAAGGCCGGCCAAAAAGAATCAATTTTTTTTAATGTAAAAAAGCACAATTTAGAACGTTGTCTTGGCAAGAAAATTACAAAAATACAAAAATACTGAATATTTATACAATTGGTATGATTTCTAATTTTCAGAATATTACTATTATTATTATTATTATTATTATTATTATTATTATTATTATTATATTTTATTTTACATTATATTTTAGTAAAATATATATCGAAAAATGAGCGAATCAGAATCTGAATATGAATACGCTGTCGGAAAGCAGCTCGCAAGGAAGAGATGAGTCGTAAGTGATAAGTAGAAAAAGGATATATTTTATACTACTTGAATAAGTAAGTGTTATAGCTTACAATCCCGTGTAAATGATAAATATCAATAAAACGATTGTTTCTTTTTTGCTTTCACATTGTTATTTTCAATTCTCGATCGCACTCGAGTGTGAAAAATTATAGCAACATAAAGTACAACGCCGCTCGAATTATCTCGAGTGTGCACGTTAAGGGGTTAACGCTTACCCACCCGTCCAACAGCCTACGTACCTGCCTGGAGATCACCAATTTACCGTCCAAAGCGTTCTCCTTCTCGAGGTAATCGTAATAGTGAAATATACTTTTCAGCTTCGCTTTCTGTCCGTTACTGAAAAAGAAAAAACAACAACGCAAATTTACGACATTTCTTTCACTGTCCGATTTACATTCGCAGCCGATCGAGCAGCTTGCCTACTTACTTTCGAAGGTGCTTGAAGAAGTTGGTGAAGTTGAAGTCGCGCAAAGTCGGATGCGTTTTCGCGGTTCTCTTCGGGTACGTGGAGAAGAAGGCGTTCGCGACCAAAGAGGAGACGAAGCCGTAGCTGTACTCGACGCAGTCACCTGCGACACACGCGCATTTTTTACGTATTCACGCCGACAATCGAGGTACCATTGTTTCATCGGCGTGTCCGCGGTAGTCCGTAGTAGTCACCTTGTTGCTGGAGACTGAAGTGCAAGCCCTGCGGAGGCTTGCAGTTTCTCAACGCTTTAGCCCGATCCACCATCCGAGGTATCGTTTTCGTGAGCACGTGCTCCCGCTCCGCCGAGTCGAGATCCTTGTCGAGGAACGCGGCCAGCTCGGCGAACAGCTCCGGATCTTGCGAATCTTCCTCGGGATCGAGGCTTATACTGAAATATACCCGAGCGATTTTCGGACCTCCACGAATATTGCATTTCTCGTTCGCTCATTACCAAAAAAAGATTGCGCGATCGTTACTACGGAGAGACAGTGATATATGTGTATTTGTGTGTGTATGTATGTATGTACGTGTGTGTGTGTACAGTATGGAACACAGAACACATAGTGGATGAGGTTTCTTCTGTGCAAAGGTCAGCGCGTAAAAGCATTCGCAAAGGGTACATCTTTTACTGATACTTAGAGATGGTCTTGATCGGATACCTTTTCAGCAAGCACTGTTCCTCGCGTCTTTTCAACAGCATGTGGCAGAAAAATCGAGTTCGTTAATGGTTGATATCATCGCGAGACGAGAAGCGTTCGTTTGCTTCCGAAACTGTTCTCCAAATCTGTTACAATTTTCCAGTTCACAACAAGATCACGATTATGTTCGACGGTTCGCAAAGTTATCGAGTGAAATTGAGAAACAGCCGAGAGATTCCGTTGAGAGGGAATTTGGCCCGTAAGAAAATTCCGCGATCCAATATTGCTCTACCTGTCCCCAAAAGATTAATTGATATATTTATTCGGGCGGTTCGAGTGGTTGCGCTGAAGATCGCTTTTCCTGCGAGCGGGCTTTCTTTCGTTGCACCCAACGGGGCTAAGTTGGGAGCAACAAAGCTTAAGTCCAGCTTAAAGCACTGCTTAAGTCCACACGCGTTTCCTTTCTCTATGTACTAGGGTGTCCCATGAGTTCTTTCCTTTTTTCTGCCGCGAAATGATTACACGATATTTGTTGTTCAAGGTTGATTTATCGAGTTATATATGAACCGTCCTGCTCTATTATCTTCTTCCATCTTTCGGGAAGCCTCGCTGTGCCGTCTTTTCAAGATTGTTGAGGCTTATTTGCAAAATATTGATCAAGGTGCGTTTTTATCTCGCTTACGAATTTGAACCGTTTTTCACGGAGAGAATTTTTCAACGAGAAGAACAAGTAATAATCGGATGGAGCAATGTCCGGGGAGTACGGAGGACGAGGTAGAACGTCTCGATCAAACTGCAATAATTTTTGTCTTACGACCAACGCAACACGCGGTTTTGCGTTGTCGTGATGAAAATTTGCCGGTGTGGAACTTCGAATCGATTCACATATCCCATCTTGATTAACCCCTTAATGCACAGTTTTTTTTTTTAAAGGCCGGCCAAAAAAAGTCAATTTTTTTTAATGTAAAAAAAAACACAATTTAGAACGTTGTCTTGGCAAGAAAATTACAAGAATACGAAAATAATCAAAATTTTTATTGCAATTTTGGATGTTGATAACGTCGCAGAAAATAGTCGAATATCGTAATATTACACGCACATCGACTTTTTTTATCTTTCTTTTCGAATTCCCATTTCAGAATAAACATTATTATCGGTAAAAATATTTATTTATACTTTTAAAACATAAATAATAACAATACTAGTATTTATAATATTTATTATTATATTTATATATATTATTATTTATATTTTATTTTACATTATACTTTAGTGAAATATATATTGAGAAATGAGCGAATCAGAATCTGAATCTGAATACGCTGTCGGAAAGCGGCTCACAAGGAACAGATAAGCCGTAAGCGATAAGTAGAAAAAGGATATATTTTATACTTGAATAAGTAAGTGTTATAGCTTACAATCCCATGTAAATGATAAATATCAATAAAACGATTGTTTTTTTTTTGCTTTCACATTGTTATTTTCAATTCTCGATCGCACTCGAGTGTGAAAAATTATAGCAACACAAAGTACAACGCCGCTCGAATTATCTCGAGTGTGCACAGTTTGGCCAGTTTAGCGCGCTCGAGTTAAACTCGAGCGTGTACGTTAAGGGGTTAAGTGCTTATGTATCGTTGTCCTGGGTATGTTAGTGGCGTCCGCTATCTCGCGCACGCTATATCGCGGATTTTCAGCGAGCATATCTTTGATAAGGTCCGCATCCGTCGTTGTTGTACGGCCGCTGCAGTCTTCGTCTTTCAAATCACAATTGCCAGCTCTAAATCTCTCAAACCAATCGCGGACTGTCTTAATAGTCGTGGAACCATCACCGTAAACGGTACAAATCTCGTTCGCAGTGTTCTTTGCCCTATCACTTTTTTTTTAAAGCAATGAAGCATAACGTGCCGCAAATGCTTCTTTCGGCTATCCATATTGAACAGCGTAGAAAAAAAACTTATAAGAAACTTCGTCACCAACGAAACGTACTCTAAAAGAGCTCCGGGATGACTGAAACCGATACCCTAAACAGCCAAAAAATAAGCCTGCGTGTTTATATAAACAGTTAAGAGTCATTCATAGCGCGGCGCGGAAAGAACTTATGGGACACCCTAATATATATATCTTACTATGCATATACGCATAGTACTACATATGTATGTATGTATGTGTATCAATGGGCATACTTACTTGCACATGTCGTGCAAGCGTTGCATCGCCTCGACGAGGTTCCCCGAGTTTCTGGCAGCGGCCGCGCGATCCAGCTGCTTGACCACGGCCGGCCACCATGGCAGGTCGCAGGGTAGCATCACCAGAGCCATGTCCGCCCTTAACCGTCCACAGAAAGCGTAACAGACGATTAATATTTGTGAGATCGCTGGGCCAGGTGCGGCGCGGCGATTATCTTCCGAGCGATCGGCATGGCGCGTCCTATTTTCGTGCGTGTCGCGCGCGCACCGATTTACTCGTGGCTCTCGCGGTCGTCGAGCACGAGCCAGCCGGGGGCAACGTGTTCGTTGTTTCACGCAAACGGCATAAATATACAGGCCGCGCCGCGCCTCGCCTCGCCTCGCCTTGCCTCGTCTCTCGGCTCGCCTCGTCTTACGCGCAACAAAATAGATTGCCGCTCGACGAGCCGAACTTCAAAAGGGATTAGAAACATTTTTCTGACGGCAGGCTCGTCTCCGCGAAGTCTGCACACGATCGACGAGCGCCACGCGGAGATACCGGCGTTGCTGGAACGAGTACGGTACGCCGGCCAAACTGCGGGGACAGTTGTTTCGTGAATTTGATACCGGTCCTGGCCTCGATGCCGATCCTAACCTCGACACGCGCGACTTTCGATTCGCCGTTTGAAATTATTATATTATTATATAATAATTATATATAATATATAATATTATTATATTCTTCTCTCGAAGAAACAGTTTTGCCATCGTGATACGAGCATGTGTTATTATTAGGATTTTTCTGTACACATTGGTACACGTAGCAACGCGTTGTTATAATAGCAACATGCTATTATAGTGTTGGTGACAGCGAACGAATTGGACGAACGTACGTATCGGCGATAACCGATCTGTCAGCGCGTCCCTTCTAACTCGGAACAAGCGCGGGAGCTTCGGCGAATCAGCGACGAGAAGGGTGGCGCATACTTGTACGCGCGAATTGTCGCGTAAAAATAAGCGCGCCATGCTTATAAAACGAAACGAGGTCTCACACGGCCCAGCAGCGTAACTCGATATAGCCTTTATCCTTCGCGTAAAAATACATGTGATATTCCTTGGTCGAACTCGTGCATTGTCTTTGCCGGTGGTTCGACGAGCGATCGTTATCTTTGCTAGAATTAGCGTTCGAACTGAAAAAAAAATAACAACACGGTTTCGTCATTCCGCGCCTCGCGATGCTCGAAGCAGTTCCGATCGATGATTTATCGATGATCCCTATCGTATTTTCGTAGAACGTTCGATCGAGTCCAGCGGGACGCGTTAACAGAGAGAGAGAGAGAGAGAGAGAGAGAGAGAGAGAGAGAGAGAGGCAAGGAAGGGGTGCGCGAACGAATCTAGGGACCCCACGGAATGAATAATTCGACTCTGCTCGTGCGCATGTCGGAAGGGGTTGTCCGATCTGGTTAGTAACCTCTCGACACGAGGAGAGAGTATAATTAGTTCGTCCGTAAGCAGCCGGCTAGAAAACCGAACACTCGGTGAAAAGGGAAATGGTAGGCAAGAGAGATATACATGTATAGACAGGCACGGGAGGGACACAGAGGGAAGCTGGAGTGGGGAGGGGGCAGAGTTCTGAGTGAGAGAGGAAGAGAAAGAGAGAGAGAGAGAGAGAGAGAAAGAGATATAACGTTACGGTTGATTTAAAGCAGAATTCGCATAATCACCTAATTTGTTCGATACACGTTGTCGATCAGCTGACGCGATCGAAGCGTGAACGAAGGAGTCACATTTTAAAGTATGCCATTGCGTCAACGGACACGCCGTACGTCGCACGCCTGCACGTCGTACGTACGCCGCCTGCACGTTTCACGCCGTTCGACGAAATCACTCGTACAACTTTAGCTGACTCCCCGGATCGTGTGGAAACACCGGCATGGACGGTAGGTCGCGCGCGGCGAGATCGGATCTTTCTTTTCGGATAATTCGGACGCGTCGGTCGAATCCGGAGGACAATGTTTGATAACCCCCGTACGCCGACAACTCGAGACGACGGATGTATACGCGACACGAAAAACGGCTAAAAAAATAGGTTGCTGCACGGACGCGATCGCCTTGCTCTCGACAGCTGTCTCGAACCCGTCAAATTGATCGGCACGCGATGCCTCGGACCAACGACCGAATCGTATACGCGTTCACCGAGGGTAGGTGGCTCGAAGCGGCTCGAAGCGGTGAAATCTACCACCGTCAACTGGTTGTATCTTGGTCGTCGCGCGCATCCGATTGCTGCCTTTCCTGATGCATACTTTGTCCACGAGCCGCAGCTCGCCGCTTGGCGTTCTACGCGCTATTTATAGAGCGGCGCCGGCGCCCTGCCAAGTCCTATATAGAATTTTTCAAAGGGAACCTCTCGGGCGTATGCAACGTTCCGTAGAGCATAGCCGCCGCCGCCGCCGCGCTTTCGCATTAGCCGCGTTTCCCTTGACGCTTCCGGTTCAGTTACACCTGTTCGTAGGATTCGGAGCGGCGGGTATATACGATCAATTCGAATTGAACGTCGATATGTAGTTTAATCTCTCCTACCTACAGCTATATTTCACGGCTGAAGAATATTCCGAGGGCACAACAATCTTCAGCAGACTCTTTGGCATCGATATCGTGTAAAGAACGTTCATGTATTGTTGCAAATCCAGAGAACAGAGATCTTTGCTGCTTTTGCCATAAGATGTAACAAATTTGGCAACAATCAAAATGGCTGTTCGGCCGATAGTGACGCCCCTTGTGGCAAATTCTCGAAGCTTCGTTCAGGATCTGGCACAGCGCCAATGGACGTAGTGGCAAAACGTTCAAACTGTTGGGCAACGTGACCGACGGAGTGAGAGAAAATTGGCGAGAGTGGCGCCTCGTGCGGCGAAACCTCGAAGTTTCGTTCGACGTATGTATAGCGCCAATTGGGGATGTGGTAAAACGGTGAAACTGTTAGCCAAATTCGACCGTTGGTAATTTGACTAATGTTTGAGCGGAACTTAATTTTTTCTCCAAAAGAGGCACCACTATCGTCCATATGCTCGATGTAGGGTCGCTTACAAAAATTAATTATTATGACGAAAACAGGCCATACAAAAATAAACCAAGCGTACAGAATTGCTTAGGAGGATCTACTGCATTGATATCATATAAAAAAAAACGAATGACAACATTGCGAAACATAATTAATTGCTTTTTGATGTTCGGTTAATTATTATGATAATTATATTTTGCGTTGTTGTCGTTTGGCTTTTTTACACAATAACGACGCAGTAATTTCTTCTGAACAGTTCTCGAACTTCTAAATTAACTCCTAAATTTCAGGCGAATTTTTTAAATATGTACATACTATGTAGGAGTTCTCGATTATTTCAACCGTTCACCGCTACGTGGAGTTAATATTTTTGTGTCCGTCAGGAAACTTTTTGGAAAATTAGACGGATTCGGTGCATAAAATTGGTAGGAGAAAATTTCCCCGAACAGTTCAATTATTTGGCATGTTCGATTATTCGATGCTCGGAATTCTAATGCTACGGTATTTTAAGGATATTTCTTTACCGCAACGAAATAGGCGTTCCGTCTTCCGTCAACGCGCGGAACGACATCGATCTAACGTCGATATATACGGCGTTATCTTGCTTGGAAATCAATCAATCCGCTTTTCAATTTCGATTTCGATTTTCGTTCGTACAACCAGGTACCGGTATAACATATTAACACAAGATTACAAGGCTGTCGGACTTTAAGACCGCAGTATATGACTGTATAAAGCGTATGGTGAACACGCCGTATCGCTGTGTGATTTGATCAGGTATTCTTGGTTTTGATCGGAACGTTATTTATTTTCATTGTAAATTGGAGTAGTGGTAGGAAAAGGTGGCAGTGGTGGTGGCGGCGACGGCAACGGCGGCGATGACAAAGGAGGGGGGGCAGGTAGGTACCGGAGCGTATTATTCGTCGGCATCGCGTGGCCGTGGCTGTGTTCGAACGGTGTCTCGGGAAAGAGCGATCGCGTGAACAGCCCAGCGGCGAGGAAGGAGGACTTTTCACGTCGGTTCAGTGAGCTGACGCACTTCGAACGACGCTCGTCGGCAACGGTGCGGTGCGATCCGATCCGATCCGATCCGATCCCATCCGATTCGATCCGAATCGAGCCGCAACGTCCAAAAATGGCGTTTCTCGCGGTTCTCGCGTAGAGCTCGCCGCAACACCATCGAACGATCGTGTGTCCTCTCGACATCGTGCCAGCGGCCACGACACGAGCACAGGCGACTCGGTGCGAAAGGGAATCGTCGCTCCAGCCGGGCTGCTATTTCCGATCTACGACCTACGACTACGACCTACGACCTGCGATCCTTGAACATCGTGCAGAGCCGCTTCGTTCCCAAGAGGCTCGCTCAGCGGAGAAACCACCGACGTAAATATCGGTTCGCATGCCCATGCATCGTTCCATCCTCGAACGTGCGCGAGTGAACGTATCTACGCGCGGAGTCGTACGATCGTCGCGAACAAAGCACTCTCGACTCCCTATATATTCCATGTGTACTTCGAAGAATTGGTACCCTAATCGCGCCCTTTTGACACGAACTCCGATTGGCCAGCACGTCGACGGATGACCAATCGACGCGACGCGGGGTCCCGCGACGAACCGTCGCGATTGTTTTCCAAAAGATCAACGTTCTCGCACGCGGTTAGCTCTTCTCCGCAGCTAATTGGACGTCGATTAGCGACGCTTACGTGCCGTTGAATCGATCCAAGGGGGGAACATCGGTGCCGGCTCGCAGTAACGGCGTTACCGCGAAGAGTCGATCGGTCGATCACGGAAAAGAATTTGAATAGCGGTGAAAGTGGCGGCGAGAGCCGAATTTCTCGCTTGCGCGCGCGTGCGTGCGCGTGAAGCGCGCGGATAGACGCGGACCGGCGCCGCGCCGATTTGCCTCTACGGTTTCCCACGAATATTTCCAGAAGAGTTTCCCTTTTCATCGTGGTCCCGTAATTAGACGAGTTCCCGCGGCCGTCGAACCAAGGCGACTCCGGACGCAATCGCTTCGATCGAGATTCCGTCTCGCTGTGAAAGCGTCGAGGATTCGTTTCCTTGGTCGGGAAATCCTCTGCCGGTGGACAACTGTTCGTTCGCACGCTTCCGCATCGGCCGTTTTCGAGTTCGATCGTGGAAAATCGTCGAAGGCGATCTGCCCTTCCTACCGATTCTTCCCGACGGACGATTTTTACGCGCTTACGCAAGCTTCGCCGGTTGGACAAGGTTTTCAGGCGACAGTGACGTCATAGCATAACATAGCATAGCACGGCGTAGCATAGCAGAGCGTAGCACAGCACGTCGCATCGCAGCACAGCGTAGCGCGGACAAGTAATGCCTTTGGCACGTGTGCGGCCGATGAGTATAACGCATCGTTCGCGCAGAAAATGATCGAGTCGTGTCACGATCACATTTTTATCCGTGCCGCGACACTCGGAACTCGCTCCACCGCTTCTACCCACTTACAATTGGATACGTCGGAGCGTTGTGATTCTTCTCATTTCGTACGAATTAACAATATTTTATTAACCCCTTAACGCGCTTAACTGGCCAAACTGTGCACACTCGAGATAATTCGAGCGGCGTTGTACTTTCTGTTGCTATAATTTTTCACACTCGAGTGCAATCGAGAATTGAAAATAACAATGTGAAAGCAAAAAAAAACAATCGTTTTATTGATATTTATCATTTACATGGGATTGTAAGCTATAACACTTACTTATTCAAGTATAAAATATATCCTTTTTCTACTTATCACTTATATAATAATAATAATAATAATAATAATAATAATAACAACAATAATAGTAATAATAGTAATATTCTGAGAATTAGAAATCATACCAATTGTATAAATATCCATTATTTTTGTATTTTTGTAATTTTCTTGCCAAGACAACGTTCTAAATTGTGTTCTTTTACATTAAAAAGAATTGATTTTTTTTTGGCCGGGTTAACAATATATTATTAACAATTTTTTATTAACAATATATTCACCGTAAAAGATCCAATTTCTTACACAAACGTACTCGCGCAACTCTTTGGACAAAAAGCGTTGCATGTATCATAATCGCGTCGACTCCCCCAAATCGGCAGAACGAGATATGCAATGATACTGATAGTCGATGATACTCGTTGATCGCAATAATAAAAGCTGGCTAATTCTTGGCCGCCGCGCTGTTGCAGAACAACAGCAATAGGACGGCAAGGTTGCAGTTCTCTTGAGAATAGCAAAGACGATCCAGACGCCGGTCTATCGTTTCTACGCTTTCTTGTTTCCTTTCTCCCGCGGCTGTAACTGTAAAATATTCAATGAATTCGAATGAAAAGGGGGCGGTCGCGCATCGTGCAACGCGCGTCTCGGTACCTAAAATACATCCGCGAGCATCGGCGAAGGCGGCAGGAACACAGCAGGTGTCTCCGCGGCAGACACTTTCACCGCGCGCGAAAACTTTTTAGTTAACCGATCTTCCCGCGTGCCGGCGGTATCGTAGCGATTAGCCGGACGAATCGGCTTCGCGTGTAGAAAATCGCGTGCGGCTTCGAAGCTTCTAGAGAGGAACGCGTCGCGCGTCTCGAATAGCGAACGACGACGAACGCGGCCGATCTTCCCTCCTTTTATCGGGTCCGTTTGATCCCGAGGCCCCCGATACGCGATAGGCCCCGGTGTGGACCCCGAGGCCAGGGCGCTTGCACCCAACTGTCTCGCCGATTAACCTTTCACGCATCGGTGTTCAAACGATCGTCGTTTCTCGCATTCTACAATGGGGGCAAGTATAAACGGATACCCTTCGGAACGGTGTAACTTTGAAATCTCGACCGAACGACTTGAATTCTTTTGGAGACGTTGTGAGAGCCTAGTTTAACGCACAATGACTGAAATCATTCCCCTTTTAATTTGAACTTGCAATGACAAGAGACACTGTCTTATCCGTGCCTATAATAATATAATATAATATTATTAATATATATATAATTAATAATACATATATTATAAATAATATATATATAATATTTTAAAAAATACATTCCACACGTCTCGATAAACTGGTCCGCATACTGAAAATTTTATGGAAATCGTTTTTAAGTGCTGTCCACTTATATTTGCCCCGCATTGTATACACCAGGGGTGTATACAGCATTTGTGTATACAGCAAATCGGACACTGTTCCACTTGTATTCTGTATTTTTGTCACAAATGTTTAACCCATCAAAGGCGACGCATAATTTGTGGTTTCTTATCGTTCGGCCAACGACGGTAATAATCAGCCTATCAGGCTGCGAAATTATTTCTCCATTTTTCAACGTTTTATTTTTTGTGCGCTGCGGTACATCCTTGCGATTTATACGCAGAACCTTACAACTATCTGTCCTCTTTGAGTATATGAGCCGTTTATTTTGAAAGTCGCATAAGTCACTTTGTTTTCAAGTCGATATATTTAAAGGTTTGCGTTTTAACACGTTTAAAAATATGGATGCTAACTTTCGAGAAGATTTACTTGTATTTGTTATCTCAGGATACTGATATTATTCTCAGTATAAATAATTTCGTATAAACATTAAAAAATCACCACTTTTCATTACGGTAAAGTGACTTAAGCCACTTTCAAAATAAATAGTTTAGAAAAATGACTGACATATGTTAATTTTGTCCGACGTATTTTACTGAAGTGACGTTTCGAAAGGACAGTGATTTACTAAAATTGTTGAATAAATTACATATATAATAATAATTTATACCATGAACATATTTAATATAAAGGTTTGATTTAAGTATTTTTTATTTTAATATTCATAAAATACAAAAATAATTGGTACATTTTGAAACATAAGTATAAGTCATTTATATGAAAATACATCGGTTCAATTTAATTTTCGTCATCGGTAGGAGTGATTAAGTCCTCGGAAATCGTGTTTTGTTTCAAATCTTTTAAATAACTGTGGTATATCGGGGGTATATAATTAAGCAAGTCCATCGT